AAGTTAAAAATGACAATTCAACATTTTGAACTTGTCGCTTTAGGCAACATTCTAAAATTTCGAATATATACGTCAATTTGAAATTATGAATTAATCGCTTCGAAATATTGTTTTTGACGTTTTAAATATCTTGAATTTGACGTGTAAGGTTCGAAATGACATTTTGAATTTAACGTTTTAATTTAAACTTTAATTTAAAGTAAAAATGACAATTCAACAATTTGAACTTGTCGCTTTAGGCAACGTTCTAAAATTTCGAATATATACGTCAATTTGAAATTATGAATTAATCGCTTCGAAATCTTGTTTTTGACGTTTTAAATATCTTGGAATTTGACGTGTAAGGTTCGAAATGACATTTTGAATTTAACGTTTTAGATGAAACTTTAATTTGAAGTTAAAAATGACAATTCAACATTTTGAACTTGTCGCTTTAGGCAACGTTCTAAAATTTCGAATATATACGTCAATTTGAAATTATGAATTAATCGCTTCGAAATCTTGTTTTTGACGTTTTAAATATCTTCAAATTTGACGTTTAAGGTTCGAAATGACATTTTGAATTTAACGTTTTAATCGAAACTTTGATTTGAAGTTAAAATCAACAATTTGAAGTTGTCGCTGTAGGCAACGTTCTAAAATTTCGAATATAACGTCAATTTGAAATTATGAATTAATCGCTTCGAAATTTTGTTTTTGTCGTTTTAAATATCTTGGAATTTGACGTGTAAGGTTCGAAAGGACGTTTTGAATTTAACGTTTTAGATAATTTAAAGTTAAAAATGACAATTCAACAATTTGAACTTGTCACTTGAGGCAACGTTCTTAAATTTCGAATTTACCGCTTTATGTCAATTTGGAATAATGTAATGTTTAAGTAATAGTACAGTTTTGTCCAGTGTTTAGGAAATACATGTTTTGTAGCCAATTTTTATTTGGTTTACCACACTTTGAAGCCACAACGAATATGTTATCTGCTTTGAATACTGTATTTAGTACCCTCGCTCCAAACGTGTCAGAAGATTCTTTTAAAACTCGCCTCAGAGGTTTTATTACCTTATTTTGATCAAAATTATCACTGTACCAAATCGCAACGAATCGGTTTCCGAACACTTCCCTTGTTAGAAATGAATTCGAAATTTATTTTAATTTATTCTTTAGGAAAAACCGAAAATGTTTGCGAAAGACGCGGAAATCGATTTAAACCTCGTTATTAAAAAATTAAACGAAATTATGGCAGCGAGAGGTAAAAAACGCACCGATCGTCGAGAACAAATCGAGTTATTACACGAATTAGTCGCAATAACGGAACAACACGGTCTAGGAGCCGCAATTTGCGTCAAAATCAAATTCGCAATCGTTTCCGCAATTTTCGATTACAATCCCAAAGTATCCGACGCGATGAAACCCGAGTATTGGAACAAGTTACTCGAGCGCATGTCGGAGATGCTCGATATTCTTAAAGACCAAGACATTTTTATTTCCGAGTCGATTACCGAGGAGATGGAGAATTTTGAAACGGCGCCTTTCAAGATTCGAGGTTGCGTTTTAACGAGTTTGGAGCGTTTAGATGACGAGTTTATTAAGTTATTGAAGGAGTGCGACCCGCATAGTAACGAATACGTTGAAAGATTAAAAGATGAAGGGAAAGTTGCGATGATTATCGATAAAGTTCAATGTTATTTGGAGAAATACAATAATAACTCGGAGTTGTGTCGGATTTATTTGAGAAAAATCGAACATTTGTATTACAAGTTTGACCCGAGAGTGCTTAAAAAGAAAAGTGGGGAGCTTCCAAGTGATACCGCAACTTCCGTACAAGAAATGGATAAATTATGCAAATACATTTACGCTAAAGATAGCACGGATCGTTTAAGAACTCGCGCAATTTTATCCCACATTTACCACCACGCTTTACACGACGGTTGGTTCCAAGCTCGCGATTTAGTTTTGATGTCGCATCTCCAAGAAACGATCCAACACTCCGATCCATCGACTCAAATCCTTTATAATCGTATGATGGCGCATTTGGGGCTATGCGCGTTTAGACACGCTAATATAAAAGACGCCCACAGCTGTTTAGTCGATTTAATGATGACGGGGAAGCCCAAAGAGTTACTCGCGCAAGGGTTACTCCCCCAACGGCAACACGAGCGTAGCAAGGAGCAAGAAAAAATCGAAAAACAGCGCCAAATGCCGTTCCATATGCACATTAATTTGGAGTTATTAGAATGCGTTTATTTAGTTTCAGCGATGTTAATCGAAATCCCTTACATGGCCGCGCACGAGTTTGACGCGAGAAGAAGGATGATTTCAAAAACTTTTTATCAACAACTACGAAGCTCCGAGCGTCAATCCCTAATTGGCCCCCCTGAGAGTATGAGAGAACACGTTGTGGCCGCCGCGAAAGCAATGCGAAACGGCCATTGGGCCGCTTGCAACAACTTCATAATCAACGAAAAAATGAACGCGAAAGTTTGGGACCTTTTTTACCAATCAGATCAAGTCCGATCCATGTTAACCAGATTAATCAAAGAAGAATCCCTCCGCACCTATTTATTCACTTATTCCCACGTTTACGACTCAATCTCCGTTAAAACATTAGCCGAAATGTTCGAAATGGAAACCTCATCCGTTCACTCAATCATCTCAAAAATGATCATCAATGAGGAATTGATGGCCTCGCTGGATGATCCGACCCAAACCGTCGTGATGCATCGCAGCGAACCGTCGCGATTACAATCTTTGGCACTCCAATTGGCCGATAAAATCAACAATTTCGTTGATTCGAACGAGCGAATTTTGGAAACGAAACAAGGTAACTTCTTTTTGAGGGGACCCAATCAAGGTAACTTTAGAGGGGATCGCCAAAACTTTGGCAGATCGAACCAACAGGAATGGGGCAGAAATCGGCGCGAAAATAGAAATCGCGATTATAATTAAAAAAGAATTGTTTAATAATGTTTTAAATAAAAATTAATTCATTAATAATAAATATAACCTCAAATTTAAAATTAGTACCAACCAAAAAAATAAAATCCTAACTGTCAAAATGACGCAAAGAAAAATTTTGACCGAATTAAATGGAGTCAAGAAGCGTTTTAAACGAATTTTCAATCTTAAAATTAAAAGAATTGGACGTAATTTCAAGCGGATTGTTTATGCTACGAATAAAAAAGCGGTCATAACCTCAAATTTAAGGAGGAACCTAATAATTGTAAGTTTTCATTTGATTTATTTATTTTATTTACAACTTTTTATAATGGGGAAAAAATCGCGATTATAATTAAATTTGAAACGAAAAAGAATTGTTTAATGTTTTAAATAAAAATTAATTCATTAATAATAAATATAACCTCAAATTTAAAATTAGTACCAACCCAAAATAAAAAAATCCTAAACAACGAAAATGACGCAAAGAAAAATTTTCGAAGTTTTATCCGAATTAAACGATTTAAATGATACGAACTCATCAAGAAGTGTTTTAAACGAATTTTCGGACTTAATACCCAAAGAATTTGATGTAATTTCAAGCAGATTATCCCAAATTATTCTACGAATCAAGAAACGAACATAACCTCAAATTTAAGGAGGAACCAAGGTTTATAGAACATAAGGTTACCTCATTCCCTATGCCTCTGTAGTATCGATTATTACCCCGCAAATTGACGTCACTGGTTCGATACAGTCAGAATAAAAGATAGCCTATACACGTGCCTATACTGTGGTACAGTCTATATAAAATATTTAAACCTCGCATCGTGTTGTGTTGTTCATAGAACCAGCTACGTCACTGACCCACCTTGCCTCTCAGAGGAGGAGAATCGGTATTGGGTAACCTTATGTTCTATAGACCTTGAGGAGGAACCAAATAATTGTAAGTTTTTATTTGATTTATTTATTTTATTTACAACGTTATATAATGGGGAAGAAATCGCGATTATAATTAAATTTGAAGCAAAAAAAATTGTTTAATGTATTAAATAAAAATTAATTCATTAATAATAAATATAACCTCAAATTTAAAATTAGTACCAACCCAAAGAAAAAAAAACCCAAAGAACGAAAATGACACAAAGAAAAATTTTCGAAGTTTTATCCGAATTAAACGATTTAAATGATACGAACTCATCAAGAAGTGTTTTAAACGAATTTTCGGACTTAAAATCCAAAGAATTTGAAGTAATTTCAAGCGGATTATCTCAAATTGTTTATGCTACGAATAAAGAAGCAAACATAACCTCAAATTTAAGAAGGAACCAAATAATTGTAAGTTT